CAGGGGGTCTCTGAGGGTCCCAGGGGGTCTCTGGGGGGTCTCAGGGGGGTCCCAGGGGGTCCCGGGCCGGTTCCCCCCTGGCAGCCGGGTCTCTCCAGGCCGGCGCTGCCGGAGCCCGCGGGGACCCCGGAGCTGGGCCCGGGAACAGGAGCTGAGCCCGAGGCTGCGGAGGAGGAGGAGGAGGAGGAGGACCTGGATCAGGACCTGGATCAGGACCGGGATCAGGACCGGGATCAGGATCAGGACCGGGATCGGGATCAGGACCGGGATCGGGATCGGGACCAGGACCGGGATCGGGATCGGGAGGATGAGGAGGATGAGGAGGATGAGGAGGATGAGGATGAAGACGAGGATCCCCGCTCAGGTACGGCCGGGCTGGGCCCGGGTCACCCCTGGGTGTCACCTCCTGTCCCATCCCTGTCCCTGTCCCTGTCCCTGTCCGTGTGTCCGTGTGTCTGTGTCCAATCCCTGTCCGTGTGTCCATCTGTCCCCGTGTGTCCGTGTGTCCATCTGTCCCTGTCCCTGTCCGTGTGTCCGTGTGTCCGTGTGTCCCCAATCCCTGTCCGTGTGTCCGTGTGTCCCCAATCCCTGTCCCCGTGTCCGTGTGTCCGTGTGTCCGTGTGTCCCCAATCCCTGTCCGTGTGTCCGTGTGTCCGTGTGTCCCCAATCCCTGTCCCTGTGTCCGTGTGTCCCCAATCCCTGTCCGTGTGTCCGTGTGTCCGTGTGTCCCCATTCCCTGTCCGTGTGTCCGTCTGTCCCCAATCCCTGTCCGTGTGTCCGTGTGTCCGTCTGTCCCCAATCCCTGTCCATGTGTCCGTGTGTCCCCAATCCCTGTCCCCGTGTCCGTGTGTCCCCGTGTCCGTGTGTCCCCAATCCCTGTCCCTGTGTCCGTGTGTCCCCAATCCCTGTCCCCGTGTCCGTGTGTCCCCAATCCCGTCCTGTCGGTTCCCAGCCGGCCCCGATCCCTGGGGCAGATCCCGGGAGCCGCAGCCGGAGCCGGGAGGGGCCAGGATCCCGGGAATCCCCAGATCCCCGGGAAGCGCCGGAGGAGTGGCCCAGGCGGCGCTGGAGGACGGTGAGACCTCGGGAAAATCCCAAATTCCCAAATTTCCTCCCTCTGTTCCCTCGGGAAAATCCCAAATTCCCAAATTCCCAAATTCCCAAAATCCCAAATTCCCAATTTCTTCCTTCTGCTCCCTCGGGAAATTCCCAAATTCCCAAATTCCTAAATTTCCTCCCTCCTTTCCCGCGGAAAAATCCCAAATTCCCAAAATCCCAAATTCCCAAATTTCCTCCCTCCTTTCCCTCGGGAAAATCCCAAAATCCCAAATTTCCTCCCTGTGTTCCCGTGGGAAAATCCCAAAATCCCAAAATCCCAAATTTCCTCCTGCTGCTCCCTCGGGAAAATCCCAAATTCCCAAAATCCCAAATTCCCAAAATCCCAAATTCCCAAATTTCCTCCCTCCTTTCCCTCGGGAAAATCCCAAATTCCCGATTTCCTCCTTCTGCTCCCTCGGGAAATTCCCAAAATCCCAAATTCCCAATTTCCTCCTTCTGCTCCCTCGGGAAAATCCCAAATTCCCAAAATCCCAAATTCCCAAATTTCCTCCCTTCCTATCCTCGGGAAAATCCCAAATTCCCCATTTCCTCCCTCTGTTGTGTCCGGATTACCCCAAATCTGCCCCAATCCCGGGATTTTTTCCCTCTGGAAAACCCCAAATCCCCTTTTTCCTTCCTATTCCCAATCCCGGGGTTTTTCCCCCCTGGAATATCCCAAATCCCTGTTTTTCCCTCCCTGTTCCCGATCCCAGTGGAGACCCTGCGGCTCCTGATTGTCCGGAGGCTCCGGCCGGGCCGGGATCCCCATCCCGACGATGACGTCACCCCCACGCCCTCGCTGGCCGGAGCCGCGTTCCCGGTGTCCGGCCGGGAATTCCCGATGTCCGGCCGGGAATTCCCGATGTCCGGCCGGGAATTCCCGGTGTCCGGGCAGGGATTCCCAATGTCCGGCCGGGAATTCCCGATGTCCAGCGGGGATTCAGCCGTGTCCAGTCGGAATTTGGCCGCATCCACCCGGGAATTCCCAATGTCCAGCGGGGATTCAGCCACATCCAGCCGGGAATTCCCGATGTCCGGCCGGGAATTCCCAATGTCCAGCGGAGATTCAGCCACATCCAGCCGGGAATTCCCGATGTCCGGCCGGGAATTCCCGGTTTCCAGCCAGGATTCAGCCACATCCAGCCGGGAATTCCCAATGTCCGGCCGGGAATTCCCAATGTCCGGCCGGGAATTCCCAATGTCCAGCGGGGATTCAGCCACATCCAGCCGGGAATTCCCGATGTCCGGCCGGGAATTCCCGGTTTCCAGCCAGGATTCAGCCACATCCACCCGGGAATTCCCGATGTCCGGCCGGGATTTGGGAATGTCCGGCCGGGAATTCCCGATGTCCAGCCGGGAATTCCCAATGTCCGGCCGGGAATTCCCGATGTCCAGCCGGGAATTCCCAATGTCCGGCCGGGAATTCCCGATGTCCAGCCAGGATTCAGCCGTGTCCAGTCGGAATTCAGCCACATCCAGCCGGGAATTCCCAGTTTCCAGCCGGGAATTCCGGAAGTCCCGGGAAGAGCCGGAGCCCAACGGGATCCAAATCAAGCGGAAAGGTAACGGGGGAGGGGTTTGGGGCGGGAATTTTGGGGTAAAAATCGGGAATTTGGGGCAGGAATTTGGGGTGGGAATTTTTGGGAATTCCCTGCACGGCCTGATGGGATCCCTGCAGGGATTTGGGGTCTCATTCCCAGGATTTGGGGTCTCATTCCCAGGATTTGGGGTCTCATTCCCAGATTTGGGGTCTCATTCCCGGATTTGGGGTCTCGCTCTCCCAAAAAATCCTTTCCTGGGATTTGGGGTCTCGTTCCCTGGGTGCTGATTCCGGGATTTGATTTGGGATTTTGGGATTTGATTTGGGATTTTGGGATTTGATTTGGGATTTGATTTGGGATTTGATTTGGGATTTAATTGGGATTTAATTGGGATTCTGGGATTTGATTTTGGATTTGATTTTGGATTTAATTTGGGATTTGATTTGGGATTTAATTGGGATTTAATTGGGATTTAATTTGGGATTTGATTTGGGATTTTGGGATTTGATTTGAGATCTAATTTGGGATTTGATTTGGGATTTTGGGATTTGATTTGGGATTTGATTTTGGGATTTAATTTGGGATTCTGGGATTTGATTTTGGATTTGATTTTGGATTTAATTTGGGATTTGATTTGGGATTTAATTGGGATTTGATTTGGGATTTGATTTGGGATTTGATTGGGATTTAATTGGGATTTGATTTGAGATTTAATTTGGGATTTGATTTGGGATTCTGGGATTTGATTTTGGATTTAATTTGGGATTTTGGGATTTGATTTGGGATTCTGGGATTTGATTTTGGATTTATTTTGGGATTTTGGGATTTGATTTGGGATTTGATTTGGGATTTTGGGATTTAATTTGGGATTCTGGGATTTGATTTTGGATTTGATTTTGGATTTAATTTGGGATTTGATTTGGGATTTAATTGGGATTTGATTTGGGATTTGATTTGGGATTTGATTGGGATTTAATTGGGATTTGATTTGAGATTTAATTTGGGATTTGATTTGGGATTTTGGGATTTGATTTGGGATTTGATTTTTGGATTTAATTTGGGATTCTGGGATTTGATTTTGGATTTGATTTTGGATTTAATTTGGGATTTGATTTGGGATTTTGGGATTTGATTTGGGATTTGATTTTTGGATTTAATTTGGGATTCTGGGATTTGATTTTGGATTTGATTTTGGATTTAATTTGGGATTTGATTTGGGATTTTGGGATTTGATTTGGGATTTGATTTTGGCCGCTGCTCTCGGCTGCTGATTTTGGCTCCCACTTTTGGGTGCTGGGTGCTGATTTGGGGGTGCTAATTAAATTCCAGCGCTAATTTGGGGCGCTAATTAACTTCCGGTGCTGATTGGGGGTTCTGGGTGCTGACTTTTGGTTCCAATTAATTTTGGGTGCTAATTTGGGGCACTAATTAATTCCCAGCGCCAATTTGGGCTGCTAATTAATTTCGGGTGCCGATTTTGGGTGCTAATTGGGGTGCTAATTAATGAATTAGGGATGCTAATGAATTAATGGGGGTGCTAATTAACTAATTAGGAGAGCTAATTATCTAATTAAGGGTGCTAATGAACTGATTAGGGGTGCTAATTAACTGATTAGGGTGGTAATTAACTAATTGGGGTGCTAATGAGCTAATTGGGGTGCTAATTAACTAATTGGGGTGCTAATTACCGCATTTTGGTGGCGGGGCCGCTCCCCCCCCCCTTCCCCTCCCCCCCTTTTTTGGGGGG